TTTTGGCTGCATGGATTCCTTTTGTACTGCTTGAGTCAAAGTTTTAAAGTGCTCATCACCCAGATAGTGTACACTGTACCCGTTAGGTATGAATTCCCCCACCTCCTCCTCACCCCTCCCACCTGCATAATTTCTGGTGAGTTTTACTTCCGTTTACAAACATGAGTGCTGATTGGTGAGTTCCAAATTAATAATGAGTACATGTAGCATTTGTTTTTCCATTCTTCACTTGGAGAATGGTCTCCAGTTCCATCCAGATTGTTGCAAAAGGAATTAATTCACTTTTTTGTGGCTGAGTAGTACTTAGTACCCCATATACCACATTTTATTAATCCCCTTACGAATTGATGGGCACTTGGGTTGATTTCACATCTTTGCAATTGTGAATTGTGCTAAAATAAACATTCTAGTGCAAGTGTTTTTTTGATAAAATGACTTCTTTTCCTTTGGATAAATACCCAGTAGTTGGATTGCTGGATCAAATGCTAGGTCTACTTTTAGATCTGAGGAATCTCCATAGTATTTTCCATAGGCATTGCTCTAGTTTGCAGTCCAGTTTGTCCAATTTCAAGTTCTTCTGGAAGTAATTTTCATATTCAATAAGACAGAAGAGAACAGGAGTTTGACTAGCCACGCAGTTAAGTGTTTCCTTCTTAATCACAAGCACTAAAATCTTAGGCCTTGTTAACAGTACCTTAAATGTTTGTTTTACACTTAGACAAAGCTCCTAAAACTTGGCATTGCATACTTCTCTTCCTTATACTCTTAGGAATATAATTGCAATTATGATCAAAAAAATTTAAATCATAATCACATTATGAATAGAATTTAATGTATTTGGCACTAATTATTATAACAAATTGCTACATTTTCAACTTTATTGTAACTGATATCTATTCTCAAACTTAAATTCCCAAACTTACCTCCTTGATTTCTCTAGCTTGGTTCTTAAAATTCACACATTGAATTTTATTCTTTATAAATAAGTTAATCAGATTTCTCTGATAAAGTAAATGTCTCTGGGAAGGATAAAATGTGAAATAATATTGGACTACATCACAATGCCAGAGATTGAAATGTTAAATAACTACTCAATATTGTTCACAGATTCTTTCTCCAATCATGACAAATTGTCTGTATTTTAATAGGAGTATTTGTTGTAAATGACTAAAGCCTGAGTTAAACTATGTAGGAGGAAACACTAATTTTAAAAAATGTCACCTATCTAAAAATAGAGAGGTGAAAAAAGACTTTTAAAACACAAGTTAAATCACACATGAATGTAGGGAGACTTTATCTAGTTTGTGTCAAATGGGAATCTTTTAATCATTTCTTATCTCATATCAAGAAAAAGGGGAATGTTTATTATTTATAATTCCAAACAATATTCCATGAGACCTCTTAAAGATTGATTTCTAAACCACTCAATTTTTACCTTAAAATCTAGAAAAATGGAATTTAAATCTGTATTTATGTTCTTGGAATCAAACAATTATTTGAGTCTTCCAAGAAAATGGCTAATGTTGGCTAGGTATATATGTATTTCTGTTA